GGTATACACTACCCAAGAGGGTACGCAAGAGATTAAAGGTAATCCTCAGGTATAGACTACCCAAGAGGGCACGAAAAATTGAATTCACACTTATTTATATCAGGAGACCGCTCTTTGTCTGGACTCTTTCTTTTGACTGAAAGTTGAGGCATCCACCATCAACTTATATAATTATTATCCTTTACTAGTTACCGAATGTCTTTGTCAAGCTCGGCTATTCTTGACTGACATCATTGCAATTTCCCATGATATTTCGACTGGGGGCAAAGTGTACGGTCGAGGGCGATTTGATTTACCGCATCAACAACAAGATTATATTTTGAGACCTTGCGAATCCATCTGCTGGATTTCTCCCTGTCTAATTAATCCGGCACAGAGACCAATTGAAGATATAACATGCATGTTATTTGGTTACCTGGCGTTGAACGAACAGCCTTTGTTGGCGCGCTTGAGACCTGCTGGCGGGACAGAACGTATTGTAGTCATCGCGGAATCGACGAAACAATTCGTTCTTTGCAAAAGCTTTCGGCCTGATTTCACATTAACTTTTCGTTAGCACATACCAGGACTTTTTGGGGTCGAGATTGGATCCCGTAACTATAGAAAGCTCAGCCGATCGATCGAAGACTTCAGCCTCCATGATAAGATCGCGCCAAGTGATTTTAATGCCAGATTTCTTTTGTTTTCGTAATTGTCGAGCATAGATGCAGTATTAATAATTAGGTGAACCTTTAACCTATAATCAACAGGTTTAAGAAACCGCACAGACACCTACCGACCGAAAACGTTGATGTAATTCTCTACACTGATGACAGAAAGATAGCGCCTCCGTAGAATGCATGCTGCGAATTTTTTTCGGGGCCAAGCTCCTCATGTTATTGAAGCGAAATCAACATTTGAAGCGGTCGAAATGTTGAATGACACAAACAAAGAAAAATTATTCAAAACAAAGGTAACAGAGTATTAATGAAAGCAACTTCTGGGAGAACAAAATAACTTAATAAAAAAGCGACAGAGACTAAAAAGAAAATGACTAACGTTAAAAGAAACGCGCAATAACTTTGGTATAACAATTCCCGCATGAAGAGACTTATTTTCGTTTGACTTTGACCATAACTTCCACTATCTTAAGCCGTTTAGCTGTGTGACAATTTGTTTACCCTGAGGCTTTTTTTAAAAGAGCCATTTGGGTCATTTCCAAGGCTGGGAGGCAATTGAATAAAAGTAGTCATGACTTAAGCAAGTGCACCTCTGTGAACCATTGTATTGAGTTGGTTGACTTCTGCAAATAGGTTTTTTCTTGATCGTTGAGTAAAGTCTACCGAATATACATATCGTGAATGCGGGTTTGGTTTTTCCACAAAGTCAAAAACAGACTGTTTCATTGATTTGTAAATGTTTTGTTTCACGATGAAAGGTCGCTTTCTTAATTTAATCAGATTTTGTTCCTTCTAATAATTACATTCTCGATTATTCGGACCCTTGATTATCTGGACTATTTCATTTAGTCCCAACGAGTCCGAATAATCGAGGTTCGACTGTACTGCATGTTTGTTTAAACGACTGAAACGACACGAACAACATCAGGAACAACTTTACCAAGCTAAATCTTGCAACACACACCTTTAGTTAATTTATCAATTAGTATGCCTGAACGACTCTTCTTAAAGATAGAGAAAGCTACCAGAAAATAAAAGATTTCTGACCCATAAAACGAGAGTGGAAAGGTTCGGATGTCCTATCTGAGTAAGAAAACTTTGCGCTGAACATAGGGTAAGCAAATTCAGTGAAGAGAGTAGCGAGAAATACTTCAATGGAATATCGTTATTAAAATTCTTTGCATTTTTCAAGCAAGGTCTCTGAATAATTTACTTCGTTGCTATCCATCTAAAGCGACCCTTTTATTAATTCTAAGCACAAATACAGTAGCATTTTCCCATTACGGAACAAGCTACCTGCGATTGAAACGACTCGATCGCGAACTACAACAGAAACGACGTTACCAATCTTCATCCGAAACTGCGTAGTTAATAAATAATTGGGACGTTAAGAGAAATTAAAATACCACCGAACAATGAGAGTTTTGTTGTCTCGCTAAACAGGAGTTCAAAGGTTCGAAACTGATGTCTCCTAGAGACAAAAGGAATGTTCACCTACGCACGTAAATTCTGAGAAAAACGCAACAAGAAAGACAAGGATCCAGAAATAGTTTTTAGGCAAATTAGACGACTAGTAATATTTACTTCAATAATACCCATCTAATGCGATCCTTTTTAAACTTGGAGAACATATTAATGGTACTTTTTTTCTTTTTCCGTTGCAGTTGTAACAGCGTTTTTTTTACATCAACAATAACCTCATCAATCTACGCCATTAATATTTCGTACTGTATCGATGAATGCGCTTTAAGAATTCTACTCGAAATCTGGAAGCAAAAACCGCAGAACTCAAGAGTTCGACTGGCCTCAAAACGGGATCGAGTTAAAAGGTAGGGAAACATCTCTAAGATGCAATATAGACAAAGACGACTCAATCAATATTGCAAGCGATGCACGCAAATTTCAAGACGAGCGCAGTTGTCTGCATTTGAAGCAAGTTATACGACTAATACGACTAATTTGTCTCTTATTGCCCATCTAATCTAAAACGTTTTTGACTTTTAACGAAATTAGCCGCTCTTTCAATCTATTTGGCACGCAGTTATCTTTCAAACGATTCAGTTTTACGGCAACCCAATTTGATTAAAATTTCCAAGAATTTGATATCTATGGTGAATGCTTACCTTATCCTCACTCAAAACTACATACGTGACGGTTTCTCTCCATAAGTCACTCTTTCGGTAGATTTTCAAGCTTCGATAGAGGCATGCGTGAGTCAGGCGAATAAGATGCGTTTGGATTTAGTCTGCTCTTACTTCGCTAAATTCCCATGAAGCCACTTTTACACCGAAAGCCTTAATTTCAAGACTCAATAGAAGCAGTAACTCATACCTTTTGGTGGTGAAGTTAATGTTTGTTGCGGAGAGGTTGTGCAAAACCGAAGTGAAACCCCAGCGGAGTGATTCAAGGCTAACTCAAATACAACGACAACGCCTTAGCTACGCGGAAGTACTCGATCACGGATAAGTAACCAATCCATCCTTTGTTAACCTTGAACTAAAGGTAAACAGAGGGCTGGGCAGACAGCTCACTCTCACTTTGCGAGGAGAATGGTGAAGAAATTACGTGCGGACTTTGAACAGTTTTTAGGACTGGCTAAGGAGCTCTGTAAATTGATGGCTTTTGCTTGATATGTTGGGCGTCAGAATGAAAAAGTATCCGATCACGGATAAGCACCGAATAAATTCTCTGTTAACCGTGAAAATAAGGTGAACAGAGGGCTAGGCAGACAGCTCACTGTCACTTTGCGAGGAGAATGGTGAAGAAATTACGTGCGGACTTTGAACAATTTTTAAGACTGGCTAAGGAGCTTTGTAAATTGATAGCTTTTGCTTGATATGTTGCGCGTCAGAATGAAAAAGAGGACTTTTATCGATTTAACTAGGCCTATATTCTAATTGAAACTGGTATTTGAACTGTCCTGATCTTTTTATTGAAAAGGTGAGGTATCCCAAAATCATTTCGATTTAAAATTTCAGAGAGCTGTCCTGGGTTAAAAGGTTAATGTTGTTTGGCGTTTATTTATTTCCTTTGTTAGAATAAACGAATTTATTATCGTTGATAAAAATTGGAGAAAAAATACCTCACTTAAACGAGCTGTTACTATAAGAAAAAGGCACATGTATAAACAATAGAACTGTCAATTAAAAATATAAACAATTTTAATCATTTTAATTAAAACAACTTAAAAGTTGTTTTAACAAAAAAAGGTCGAAAAGGTAAAAATTGGGACGGGTAAGAATGGTATCCGGTTAGATCGCACCGTGGTTAGATCGCTCCCAGTTAGATCGCTCCAACCAAAAGGTAGATCGCTCCATCAAATGAGTGACTTCGCTCCCAACATAAGTTACTTCGCTCCATGTAGTAATGTGAAGTATTACTTACCAATGATCACTAAACATCACAACAGACAGAGACCTGTTTTGGGACCAAACAGTTCATCAAATGTATATATCCTACGAATAAGTAACACTCTAGACTATTACATAAAATATATTGGACGAATACACTAAACCAAGCCACCCAGTTATCGATGCCTAGAGACATATAAATAGACATTAATATTCACTTAAAGTATATAGGTGATAATGTGTCTTGCGACGATTCGAGTATATCGTATTCACTCTGTCCTTCAGATCAGCCACCGAGCTACCGATGTATGATGTATAGCGATGATGGAATTAATGATCGTGGAATAAATTATAACTTTATAGTCTGAAGTGTATTGAAAAAGAGCGATCTAACCATGGTGCGATCTGACCGTAATTCGTAAGAATTGATCATCGATTTGGGTACGAACAAACTCAAAATTGAGTACGAAACTTGAGCGCGAAACGACTGAATTGAGGAACTGTATGACTGGGTTCGAAACGACCGGATTCCTCCTCACCCATCGGGGATAAGATCCAAGAAAGATGCGAGTTTTCGAAAGCAATATATAAAGTGAAAAACGTTAGATGAGTAGATAGGGAAGTTTGTTCTCTTCACTTTCTTAGGGCATTCTTGACGCAAATATTTTTTCTGGTTTTTGTTTTTATTTCCTCCTTTTTTTGTCCTTTGTATTTTCTTTTCTTTTTTTTTATTTTTTTATTTTTTTTTTGAGAGAACCTAAACAGCAGCCGTCTTAAAGCCGTACGTTTCAATTCCCACCATTCCGTGGAAGTGCTGTTTGGTTATTGAGCGTTTTAAAAATGGCGGCGCCCAAACTTGAACCACATTTGACGACAATTTTTGAACAACTCAGTTACACTCTGGAATCTCAAAAAGCGGTAAGTAGTGATATTTAAAATGTTTTACATAATTACATAGTACTTGACTTCGGAAGCGAACTTCTTTATAATGGCGACACTCGGACCCACGTATTGGTATTTCCATCCAACCATTACAAAGTGGGATATATCAACATAAAATTTTCAAAGTCAATGAAGATAATGCATTGCATTCTAAGAAATAAATTTTACAATATGTTTTCGGGATCAGAACGTTTGTTAAATCTATTTTAGATAAAATTGGACAAAAGCAATTCTTGGCGATTATTTTCTTGAATAAATCCATTACGCAAGGTTTGCTTGTTCCTGACCGTTTGTAATGCAATGTGAAATATGAGCTCAACGTGGTTGAAATGCAGGCCTATTTATACTATTTTAAGAAATATGCTGACTATGCCAGCCGTAGAGCACAAGAACTCAGTATCTCTTATTATTTCAAGATTTGGGAGAAGACTGTTCACATATTATAATTGTAGCGTTTCTTTCCTTGCTCGTTTTCCCTTTTAGGCTTGAGAAGTAATGATCTGACTCCAAAATACATATCAGACTTTATCAGCATCTGTTAACCTTGGCATCATTTGCACTTAGCCTTTATCATAAAAACTGGTCGTACCGACTTCTAATTTGCATGATACTAACCGAGGGAGGTAAGATTTAAGAGCATACAATTGTTGAGGGAACGAGACAATAATGTAAAATAAATCAGCCTCTGTGGAGAGTTTCTGTTGGAAACAACTCTGCGTAAAAAATTTATTCATCATTTCTATTTTAATTCCGATTATCATTATGACCAAATTTTAATGAGTTTTGTTAAACACATCCCTGCATGCTTTATACTGATCTTCGACAAGTTTGTACGTTTTCAATCTTTCTATTAAGACACCGCAAACAATGGGTGTGTAAAACTCGTTTTAATGTTTTAACTTACAGAAGCAGCGTTTTGGTTGACTAAATATTGACGCAAAAGTACTCGAGAAAGCTCACTCTAATTGCACTGATAAAAAGCGGGAGATTGATGGTTTTGTTTGTTTGTTTGGTTTTATTTTTTACTAAGCCGCTATTAAGATTATAACAAGCACGAACATGAAGCATCCCATGGCGATAGAGATAATATTCAGCCACTTGGCGATTTGTGAATTCCTCCAAGCGCCGTCGTAGTCTCTTGCTGCATATGAACTGTCCACCTGAATAGACAGCAGTTGAATGATCGGTAAGAGTATTAACAATAAAATTTTAGATAAAGTACTAAAATGTTCACTCCCAATTGTTGTTAGTATTAGTATTGTTTAGAAACTGTTCAAATACAATGTCGAAGAAGGTAATTTCGGGTTTTGAAATAGAATTGCACCAAACGAAAATAATTAGAATTTGCCAAGGATATATACAGCTAAATAGACGATCATTCTTTGGAGGCTGTCTTTCATACATTACTTCGCCAGCTGAAACGAATGGCTAGTACATCAATGAGTTAAAGGAAGATTCATGAAATAGATTTTCTTTTTGAAATTGGAACATAACAGCAGCTACGGGACTCTTAGTACTGCACATTTTTAAACTAGACTGAATAATGAAATTATAAGGAGCCATTCACGGTAGGAAAATAATTTAGTTTTGGAGATTTTCTTAAATGATAGACAACCCAGTTGAGGCTACCTATTTCAGGATATTTTATCATGAAAGATACACTTACCATAATGGAGAAAATGATTGCAGCTATTCCAAGAATTGGGAAGCAAAAAAGGCATGTGAATATGGACAGGGCCAACCAATTGGGAGGAGGAAAAGCCATAGGCATGATAATCGTCGGAGCCTTCCAAAGAGAACAAAAGAGAAAATCAAAAAACTTTTTGAAATGACAAGAAAGCTCGCAATGCATGTATGTTTTTACCCGTCCAGGGTATTCTATTTAGAGATATTTCCGTTTTTGATCGTGATTCTTTAGGAGAGGTGTAAGGGCTCGAAACTATGATGTCATAATTGGAGCCTTACATAAGGTCAGAAAAAGAGAAATTCTAACTAGTGAGCTAAAAATAGTGATATAAAACCCAAAAACGAAGTATATTTGGATTCCTTTGTGAAAATGACAACGTACAGGTTCCAGATATATCAAACTCCTCGCGTTCCGAAACATCCATGTTACATGCAAATTCCGAATAGTCGGATGCACTAAACGCGAGTTTCACGTTTAACCATTGCGAATTTCCGATTAAATAATGTCAATTTATGGTAGTTTGGCTATATTGCTAATCAGGGAGATCCGCGCTCTTGTATGAGGGCGGTAATGAGAAGGTTGCAGCCGCCATTTTGTTTAAAAATGTTTAAGGTACACAAGGGGTTTGAGCTTAAAGTTTTCAAGTTGACTATTGGAGTCCTATTTGTCCTCTTTATCCTTAGCCACTCTTGGGCCTTATTGGTTTATCATTATCAATTGCCAAATCTAATGGTATCCTTCAACCTGAGCGTAGATTTTTCACGCGCAAAATCAATAACATATAGCCTTTCCTTGATAGATGTATGGTACGCGAGTAAAATCCCCATTTCCTCTGGATTTTTCAAGTTTTCATGGCTAGCTGGTCGAGGAGGATAAAGGGGGTACGTTTCGAGAGAAACTGTGGTGCTGCGTCAAAGGGGAAGTATAGCAAGATAATGTTGGTTATGTCGACGAAGTTGATAACGTAAATTGGCCTCTGTAAAGAGTTTCAAAGCTGACGTTGGAGCGAATGGTAAAACCAAAATTAATAAAACCAAAGTTATCTTGTCGAGGAGGAGTTTCAGTTCTGTTATAAAAAGCCGATAAGAAACTTACAGGTGCTTGCATGTTGACCACTGTGGTACTTTGTTGGACATGTTGGGTGGGCTGTGGAGGATAGCCTGGCTGCTGCGTTTGCGGGTAACCATATTGAGGAGAATACCCAGGCTGAGGCTGCTGCCCAGGCTGTGCTGGGTAACCAGGCTGTGCTGGGAAGCCAGGCTGTGCTGGGAAGCCAGGCTGTGCTGGGTAACCAGGCTGTCCTGGGTAACCTGACTGTGCTGGGTAACCGGGCTGAGCAGTACCACTGGGTTGAGGTTGGTAGGCTGGTTGAGCCGTAACAGGAGCCTGTGGTGTGTAGGGTGGAGGATTATCTGAAAACGGCATGTTTTAAAGATATCTTGATCAGTTATGATTGAACTCGTACATCACAACACTGCTCAGTGGACAGTGTCCATTGAAAGTAGTCAGAGTCGCCTTGAATTTAAAAAGGGTGCCTTGAGTTTAACGGGTCAGTAAAGTTGCAGCAATTTGAGTCAGTATATGAGAGTCGCACCTGGGTTCACTTGTGTGTTCTGTTCCATGTTCAGTTTTATTCTGAAAAGAAAAAATATACATGATTTTAGTAAATAGGAACGAACAGCCAGGTATACTATGGTTAAGCAGTATTATTTTCTTGGGCTGTTTATCCAATGATTACCCTTCAACGATTTTCATGTCCTCATTTTCAAGTCTCCGCGATTTGTGGAAAGGCGTTTGACTGTTCGTCTAAAGGAAGGATATTTTGAATCAGACTCAAGGAATAACTCGAACGGCAGGGAAGAGTCGAGAGAAATAGATGCCCCTCGACCACTATTGAATCTGATTGAGGTTTATGAGATCTGACTCTTTTGTTTGGTTATTGTGTTGCTAATATTGAAAAGTCGATGTAAATATTGTGGAGAATTTTGAACAAAGTAGAGGATAGTAACGCTTTTAAACTTTGGTAAAATTTATACAGAACGTGAGAAAACCATAACTGTAATACTTACATTGGTTTTATATTTACTGTTTCATGATGGCTTGTCAAGCAAGTATAATTAATTGTTTTCGTGAGCTAAATCTGTGTTCAATCGGCTACCGCCAATCGCGGCATCATTGCATCATGCCGATCCATTGTCGAAAACTCTCAACCTTAGTGGTTATATTTTGTTTTTCCAGATTATTGTGATAGGGTGTTTGAAGCTTAAACTTCCTCAGTAAGTTCATTAAGTTGAAAATACTATAAAATTACATATAAGACATCATTGCGTATTACTGGACTTGTTTCTATAGACCGTGACACACGAATAATATTTTTCAGATAGGCATTTCATATTTCGAACTTCTTTTTCAGTGTCCTACACAAGCCAGAATCGTCATCCTCGACTTGGAAGAATTAGACTTAGCGAGTATGTTACTTATCGAAAGAAATCTTGGGGAACTGGCACTATGCCCGACATTACAGGGCTTTGCTTGTATTGTTCATTATGATAATGCGCTGGAGAAAATGCCTGAATATTTGAAAACGGCGTCGAAGGTGGTCGAGCGAACGAGGATATTTTGGATTATGAAGAAGCACTGGATTTTCGTCACTCGCTCCAGGGAGACACGATGTTATTTCCGAAGGACCGCTCGCGAGAGAATCAAGGAATACTTTGAAAGTGTTTCTGTGCTTCATGGATGCATTCGCCGTTTTCTACTTTGCTTATAAGTATCTATTAATTTCGCGTGGGAATCAAACTGAAAGCTTTCATAATTTTTACCTAGTTTTTGCTTGATATAAGTTCGTATATTTATCTTAAATCGTTCAAAAGTAATCGGAAATCAACTGAATGCTCCGTCCAACACCTAGCTTAGAGTGCCACTTCTCAATTTGCAAATATCTAATATCTTGCACGCCGTTTAAGCAGAGACGCATGAGATACAGAAAGTAAATTTATGAACCACGTGCAAGTTTGTTAGATTCATAAACTTTTAGTATTTCTCAAAGTGATCAGTAGAACCCTCACAAGGTCTAAAGATTTGTTTCTTAGGGGAAGCTTTTTTAGAGGAAATCAATACCCGGACTCTTGAACAAGACATCATATTTGCATTTTACTTTAGTTTAGATGCGAATTAAAAGATTTAAACTTTGGGTGGATTCATTATAGACAGAATCTAAAACAGAATTTGTAGGATTCAAGGATTCGCGTTTCAGTTTCTAGCGATAAGATCCGAAAGTGAGGTAATTTAAAAATTGCTAGCCTTCCTGTTTAAAAAGTAATGTCATGTGAGACTCCATCAGTGACCGAGGGAAATTTTCAACTGAATCTTTGTCATTGAATTGTCCTAAAATCTTGCAGAATGTCTCAAGCATGAGCAGAGGTTTGTGAAAACCTCTGACATATAGCAAGTCTTCGACGAGTGAAGTTGATTTCAAATAGGCAATTTAGCAATTCTTTGCTTCTCACTAATTTTACTTTGCATAATCTTCCACAAAGTAAAAGAAGCGATGCCATGAAGTATTATTTCCCATTTTTAATTGCTTCGGTCAAAAGATGTCCACGTGATCTTGGATACGGAGTCCTGACAAAGACTGCATAGATTAGTTTGTTTCAATGGACAATTATAGCTACCAAGTCTAAAATTCATGAGCGACACGGTTCTAAAACAAAGTAATCGAAATTTCCGCTTCAAATGGACTTTGTCTAAATAGTCGACAAAGATCGACACTCTTCGGCATTTTACAAGAAAAGTACAAATTTGGTGTAAAGAACAATACTTACCGGTTTGTGAAAGGAAACGAGATATCTGGTTAAGAATCCTGAAGTCTTTCAGAACCCGCGGAACTGGAAGAGAATGAATGAGCGAACTTCTTCGACAAATCGCCAGGAGGTAACCTAACAAATGTAGCTGCGTCACAGGTCAGCGGTTGACATCATATTGGCTCAAGCAGTTCACACTTGTGTGTGGGAGAAGAAAACAATAGAATTAAAATCAAACGAATATCGTCTTAACTGTTGAACCTAGCAGTGTAAGAATCGAATACGTAAACACATTCTAAGAAGAAAAACTTTTGCATAGATCTTCATATATTCTGTGAGTATTTGAAAGCACCCATCATAAAATGGTAAGTTTAGATCTGCACATTTTAGAGGGATTTCTTTTCTTTCCCGGCATGCGCAAATGATGTGAGTTCTGAGAGTGAAATTCAGTCGCCCCTGGTCATGTGTCGCATTGTTGCCTGGCTCAAAATCGTCTTCTACAGGACCATATCGTCGTCGGCAGTGATTGAAGTTTCGAAAAATGGTGCGGAAGTCATTATCAGAGCCACTCTAGTTTGTGGATGTCTTGTGCTCAGGGTTTCGAAACGCCTAGCGTTGCCGCGGACATTGACTCATGCAGGTCTACCCTTGCCCGGACCGTATCACTCTATGCAATCGACTGCCTCGCTGTTTCGCTGTCAACGGGACTCTAAAAACTTTGTTAGTGATAAAGTATTGTGATGTTTCAGTTCATTTCAACTTTCTTCAGAAAACAGAAGCAACATAATCATCCTTTTTTCCGCTTGATTTTTTTTTACAAAGAGAATGCCATTTATTTTCCGTCATGCGAACGGCTACTATAAAATTGCTATAACCAAGACCCAATATGCCTTTCTTCCTTTCATACATTCATCCTTGTGTCACACTACACGTAACTTCCCTGTCTGGAAAAAAGCAATCATTTACAAAAAACGTCTGACAGATTGTGGCTTCTCTATCAACAGGTACAGTTTTAAACATTTATGACGTTTTTCTTCATTGTTATTCATAAACCTCATACAAAATAGTAGTAACCCATCAAGCCGAGAAAATTTGGATGTACGACCGTACGACCGTACAAGGTGCTACTTTTAACATGCGTGGTCAACTGTACCGCGGGGCACGCCAACGCCACGGCTTTGTTCAGTAGTCCAGTGGGTTCCGAGTTGGACGACCCAGGTTCTAGTCCTAGTCGGGGCAAGGCGTTGTGCCCTTGAGACGTGCGGGAAGAAAAAAGTGCGAGCTCCGCTTTTAGGCTTGGCTAAATCTATATATTAACCCTGTTCACTGTAGAAAACTGAAATAATTACGTATTTAGTTTTTTTACATGCAATCTGAATTCAACTGATACAATAGGAATAAACATGGAACTACCTTTCCAATATAATGCATGTATCTAGTTTCGGTCAGCCTGTTGAGCAGCTTTATCAAGTTTCCACACAATTTCAAGCTTAAGCACACGTCAGTTGTTTGTGTTGGTGAGTTTGGCAGAGGTAACTAAAGAGGGGTACTTCTGACTATGTCAGTCTGCAGGAGTCCACGATCAATCTCCCTCAATGCTCCTTCCAGTTTATTCCGCTTCTTTAAAGCGGGCTGATTGGTACAAACCTAATCTACTATATTCTTTTTCCAACATTTTCAATAAGAAATGGACTGATCGATTGAGGCTTGAGTTTTGTTCTTAATGCAGAAAGGGAAGGGGTACTCTCCTAAAGACTATGTATGAAATTGGACCAGATTTTTCAGGTCAGTGCAAATTAAAATATGAAAAAACTCAATCCTCAACCTGAGAAATACGAAGAGGGTGCGCCAATCCGTTATCTATGTTATTTTCTGTTTTATCCATGATTCAACTCTTGCCAAATTTCTGAATCTAAATTACACGACAGCAGGTTAAGTGTTACCCAAACCTGGGATGGAGGTTTGAAATCTCTTTTGAAATAATCAAATTGTCTCAAGAAGATTTACTTCACAGGCTAAAAATCCTCTACGATCGCATCTAATTGATCTTTAAGTTTGTAAAGAAATGATCACGGTACAATATAAGTGTTTTTGTCATATCATACCGGGCTTGGTATTTTTTTCTTTGTTGGAGACGATTTGTTTCAGGAAACTTCAACTGTGATACACTTTTGACTACAATTGCTTCATGGTGGAAAATTTTAAAGTTATTGTATCAACAAAAATGACGCATCGAAATACATACATACATACATACATACATACATAAGCTTTATTTATCCTCGGATTTCAGTGTAGCTTACAAGCTAGTATCTCCGATCCTAATTACTAATTTTAAAAGTTACAGGCTGAAAAGAGAAAAAAAAAATTCATAATATAATAATATAATAATATAATAATATAATAATCATTAATATAATAATATAATGTAATATTAATGTAATATTAACAGAAACCGTGCACTAACAGTTTGCGCTTAAATTCACTATAATCTACAGTCTTTCTAAAGTGGTCAGGGAGGGAGTTCCAGTACTTAACAGATGAATAGCTAAAAGAATTTAGACCATATGTGGTTGTAAACGGCTTAGGAAGTCATAAAATATTGGTGCCCCTTAGGGAGTAAGCAGTAGATCTTAGCTTGATCAGTTGTTTCAAATAGCACGGATATTTACCAAGATGGAGACAGTTGAATATACAAATCATCATATTTTGTATCCTCCTTTTGGCTAAACCACACACACCTGCCTTGTCTAAAAGATCATCATAGTTCGAGTCCCAGTCCTTTAAAACAAATCTTAAAATACGTCTATTTAAGGTGTCCAGTTTAACAGAGTCCTCTGAATTACAAAAGTGCCATATCATTGAACAGTAGTGAAAATGGGGTAACATAAACGTTTTATAAAGGCGAAGCATAATTTCGGTAGAAATAAGTTTGCCAAATCTTTTGAAGACACTGAACTGATTATTTATTTTTTTACGTACAGAGGATATGTGTTCCTTGAAATTAAGTTCATTATCAAGAATTATTCCAAAACGTTCCAGGCATCTTGTGGTTGAGAAGGAGAAAGGGTAGTCGGTTTTGCCAAGAACTATCCCTTGGTGTTTAGCGGGGTTGGCTTTCATCCCATTGTCTTCGAACCATTTGTTTGCTATTTATACATCATGATTGATCCGCTGTTCCAAGGCTACTGGGTCTACGTCAGATGTGTGCAGTTGGCAGTCATCAGCATAAGTGTTTAGTTTTACAGACTTAATGTGAAAGATGAGGTCATTGAGGAACATGTTGAAAAACATGGGTCCCAGGACGCTACCTTGAGGCACACCACGCTTCAAGCTCATCCAATCCGAATAAGTATCACCAATTTTCACTCGCTGCATTCTATCCGTCAAGTAGTCACCGATAAGGGCACAGCTGGATTCATGCAAAACATACGCTTTCAGTTTCGCTAGTAGCAAAGCATGAGGTACGGTGTCGAAAGCTTTTGACAAATCCATTGATATAACCGCCACGATCTCTTTATTATCTAGACTACGCCTCCAGTCCTCAGTCAGCCTAAGCAAAGATGTCTCACAGCTATGGTGCCTTCTGTAGGCAGATACGTATTCGGACAATATGTTTTGGTAAAAGTCGCCCATTTGAGCTGAAAGCAGCCTCTCGAAAACATTATTGAGCACAGGTAAAACGGTCACTGGTCGATAATTGCTTTTGTTCAGTTCATCGTCCTTTTTAAATAAAGGAGTAACTTGACCTAATTTCCAGCGCGACGGATGCTGTCCTGTCCTGATAGAGTGATTCATTATTGCAGCAATAGGACCAGCAATCGCGTTGGCAGACTCTTTTACCAGTTGCGGTGGTATTCCGTCATGACCACAGGATTTGCGGGAGTTGATTTTGAGTAACAAAGCTTCCACTTGGGTTTTATAGGTATATTGAAAAGCAAATTTGTTTCTCACAGCGAGCTGTTCATTGTTGTTGAAAATCGCCTGAATGCTAGGATGCGCATCCAACTCTTTTCCATAACTCTGTTCAGTAATCTCTGGCACGCCGTCCGCGACGTTGACAAAATAACTATTAAAGCTCCGCCATTTGTTTTTGTCTGTTATCACGACATCGTGTTCTTTTAATATTATATCATTTGCTTGCGTGCTTTTCCTTGAATGCAAAAATGGGCGGTATGTGTCCCAAAACTCCCTTGGGTTTTCCGACTCACTTTTCTTGTCGAAGAAAGTTTTAATAGCTTTACGTCTTAGAGAAGTGCAAATGTTCCTTTGTCTCTTGTACAATTCATAATTAGTATCAGTTCTTTCGCGGATGAAACGTTTCCACAAACGGTTTTTCTGGCGAATAGCTTTGCGCCATTGTTCATTTATAAAGGGAACTTGATTTCCCCTTATGCGGACCTATTTCAAAGGTGCATGCTCACCAAGAATGTCCTCGTATAGACAATCAAACACGTAGAGCTTATCGTCAACGTCGTCAAATATTTCAGCTACTTGGAAAGGAACATTATGCAAATCATGTAGAAAATGCTGTTTATCAAAATTTTTAAGGCTTCTGAATTGTATTTTCCGAGATCGTATTCTCTGTTCCGATGCCCTGAGCATGGCAAACACAAGAGAGTGATCACTTATATTAACATGGACTACGCCCGATGATTGTGTTTTTCTCAAGTTGTCAGTGAGAAAAAGGTCCAGTAGGGTTTCTGATGTCTTGGTAATACGGGTGGCTTCATGTATTAAATTCTTCAAGTCGTAAATATCAAGTAGGTTTGCCATAACTCTACCATCCCTTGGCGGCTTGTCTGGTAGTAACATATCCGAGTTAAAGTCGCCTACGAAAAAGCAGTTACCAGGAAGTATTGTGATCGCCTCAAGTATAGAGGATAGTTCAAATTTCTATAGCGATTGTGGGACAGACGCAGATGTTGGAGGTCTACAGATACCGACGATGGTTTCCCACTTCTTAGCTATCCTCACCTTCAGCACAATCGATTCAGTCTTGTACCGTTCACGCTCACATAATCGAAGATTGGGAAGGTCTTTAATGACTTTAAAGCAGAGGCCTGCGCGGATATAGACCAATAAACCACCGCCATGTATGTTTCTGTCAGCCCTACACATTCGATATCCGGTGACCATAAATTGACTATCTGGAAAACTGGAATCCAGCTTCGTTTCAGAAAGTACTAAAATATCAAACTTTCCTTCTAATAGCCAATACTAGAAAGCAATTGTTTATTTTTTTCTGTTTGTTTGCTTGTCTGTTTATTTTTCCATTTTTTAATTAAACAATAGACATGTTTTTACGTAAAAGACATCACCGTTTGAAGGCGTTAGACTCTTTGGTGAAAATCCCCGACAAAGTTGCTTGAATTATTGAAATGGTGCTTTCTTAGAAAGCTCCTCAAACCGGAGAAAAGATTGAAAACGTCGGCTATGAATTAAAAGGTGGACGGAACGAAGTCAGCCGTTACATGAAAGATAATGACTGGTGCAATTATTTTGAACCAAAATGCTTCGTTAATCTTTCTTTTTGTCATTACTGGACATATAAATCCCCATAGTATTTACAAAAAAACCAGTCATTTTTAAGTGAATGGTATCATTGTGTGGTGGTGTTATCTGTGTCTGAAAAGGTAAATGAGACGAGGTGTTTCCGCACGCACGTTTTCTAGACCCCTTCGCAAGTTCAGCAATTTGAGGTGAACAGAGGGTACCTCTTTCGCACCTAAAGGTAAGTTTAAAAACATTCAATATCATCCACTTTAAGTGAAGCAATTGAATTTGTCACCTACTTGAACTTTCGAGTTCATCTGGCTAAACTTGTCTCTGTTAGCAACTATGATGGCTTCTTAAATCTAAGTAAAATTTTAGGGGTTCTGAAATTACTTAACAGAATCGAAACAAACAAATTTCAATTATGGGTAGGTTCAGTCAAACAGTTCCCTCACCTCATGTGCGCCGCGGTTCCACAGGGTTGATTTTGGTCTATTACTGCCCCTGAATATTCCCTTGGGTAACCTTATTATCCTATAATACACTTGTAATCTCTAATTTTTCACAAAATCACAAGAAATACTCACCAATACGAAAACATTTCTTCCCTAACTCTGCAGAACGAACAATGTCTCGCCAAACCATTCTGTGTATCATCATTTTCACTGTGTGTGGAATAACCCCAGTCATTGCAGCTAGTAAAAAAGTAATATATTGCCACAACCCACAATACACAGGTCCGATCAAAGAAGTATTCGAGATGAAAGCAACTAAGCTGGAAGAAGACATCCGACGCCGCCAAGGTTATGCCTTGAATTTACCAAGGCTCTGGTTTCAAATACCATAGGAGAAATCCCAGTTGTGAGATTTGTACTGAGCGCGCTTTTCGATGGACTCGTGGAACTATTTGAAGGAGATCTCGACCCGAGGACGTATGCAACAGTTTGGTTGAGGAAATCAACCGTGATTTCTCTCTCTTACGAGCCGAGATAAACATCAGCGCCCAGATTAGCGCCCGTTACACATGCTAAACAAGACGAACCCCAAAGAATTTCTTAACATTTGTCCAATTTACGGACAAAGTGACAAAAGCAAGCTCTAAGTCGTTGTGATCAATAACCCACACTTTTACTTCAGCAGATGTAACAAAACAGGTTTCAGGCTCTCCTCCCCACCTCATTACTTTCTACGTAATGTCGCCAAAAATTACCAGGAAGAGTAAATGGCAAAAGAAATCTAAAGAGTAATTCATGAAAATTAAAAAAACAAATTTTTCTTTTTAATCCTTTATTTAAATCGCACTAAATCTTTCCTCCAACAAACTATTTTTACAAAGCTATAACGAGAAACAAACGAGTCTCTCTTTAGACCATTGAACGGCGCTAGAGGTTTGCACGGCTGTAATTTATCCCGGGTAATTATTTTCCTTGCCAAATGAAGCTAACTTACTGTAAAATTCCGATGACAAATGCTGAGAAGGAGTGATCAATACTTCAATGATCCGAAATTATTCAGGGTAATTTAAGCAGTTTGAAATATCTAACAAAAAGTGTGAGATGGAAAAAGGAATCCTTTATGGTGAAACTGTCGTTCTTTTTTCATCTACAACGAATAAACATGCCAAACAGTATACAATTACCATTATTACATAAATAAAAATTACAGCACTTAATTTTGCCAAAAAGGCATTAAAAAGTAGGAAGACTGAAATATACAAAAAGCAAAAACAAACAAAACAACCAAAACAAAAAAGGCAAGCAAAACCGAAAAATTTTTTTTAGTGAGTTTCAGGAAGATCATCCTTAATAAATCAGCAAAATTTTATAGTAATATCTATAGTTGGGATCCAATGGAGATATGAGTACAAAATATGTAGGCTAAACACTGAAGGAAAGTATACTATTGGAATTTTTGTAGCCCTTGTTTAAATTCCTCGCTTCAACTGAGGGATGCAGATCAGAATGGTGAGCACAGCACACAAGCCAAATGAAATTGACGTCAGTGCCATTGTCTCAGCCTCATGATAGTTCTCAACCTCCTTCTTTTTTTTGCCATCTCCTCCAGCCTTTCGCGCCTGCAATTTGAAAGTGAAAAGCTTTAAAACAGCGTTCTAGAAGGGTTTTCTCGACGGCGTACCGATGTATTATGGGGCTTTTCATTGAAAAGAAATAAATGTAATATAAGTGTATAAGGAGCTAAAAAATTGCTTGATTGGCTGATGGAATAAACGAACGAATAAAAAAATACGTGAATAAGTGAACGAATGAATGAATTCTTTGATAAATGGATGGACAAAGAAAGATGAACTACAATAGAATATTAATGACGGTAATGGTTGTCATAGTAATGGCAGTAATAGTTGTCATAGTAATGGCGGTATAGTTGTCATAGTAATAGCAGTAATGGTTGTCATAATAGTGGCGGTAATGGTTGTCATAGTAATGGCGGTAATGGTTGTCATAGTAATGGCAGTAATAGTTGTCATAGTAATGGCGGTATAGTTGTCATAGTAATAGCAGTAATGGTTGTCATAATAATGGCAGTAATAGTTGTCATAGTAATGGCGGTATAGTTGTCATAGTAATAGCGGTAATGGTTGTCATAATAATGGCGGTAATGGTTGTCATAGTAATGGCGGTAATGGTTGAGGCATGGTATTGATAGTGCCTGTTATAACGGTTACGATAATGAATGTAAAAAGTTGCATGGAAAAAACAAACAGATAAATCAATGGACAGATAATGCCCGCCTGCAAAAGTACATTCGTAAAAATGATTCCTTCTTCTCCTTTCTTACTCGGGGTCGAGAACATATCTTAGACTTACCAATATCCAGAAAACAATGGAGACGATTCCAACAGGGAAAAGGGTCAGCAAAGACAACATAACAAGAGCAGTTCTGGTACCATCACTGAACAGCAGCTTCCTGCAAGCTTCCTGTTCGTTGAAAGAGAGAACATAGTCTTATTTTCTTCTTCAAATCGAAAACTCTTTGGGCTTTTTCACTCCAGAGCCTAATTTAGGTTATAAAATCAGATAGTCATTGCTTTCATTGAAATTCTAAGAAATAAAAAAGGAAAAAGGAAAAAGAAAACAATTAAAAAATAACTTTAACAGTGATAAGTTACGATTCGGTATGCAAAGCCTGAATACAATCCTTCAAATATTTTAACTGGCGCATTCGTTCTCCAAAAGCAGAAAATCGTTGAGTTGCTTTAATTCAGTTACAATTTAATTTAGTTTGAAACTTATACAATTCTGCGATACATTGTACCACCGATGTATCAGAGCAATTGTCAATCGGGTGTCGGAAATACTGCCTGATTGGAATATTTTTGCTTTCCAAAGCTCTGAGATTAAAACTGGAAAACTTGCTCTTTCTTCTCAACCAATTATTTCTTACTTAGTAACTCACAATTTCCCGGGTTTGAGGTAATTTGCATAAATTAATTTTCTTTATTGATTATAAATATGTTTGCCTTATAAATCATCCTCAATAATAATTGGTTCTTGTGATTGCCTCTGGTTTATAACAATCGATTGAAAAGCGCTCTCTACGTATATTTATATTAACCCTTTAGCTCCCATAAGTGACCAAGACAGAATTTCTCCTTACAATATCAATGACAATATTGAACAGACAAGTGATGAGAATAAAGAAAAATATCAGTTAGAGTATTATTAGTTGATCCAATACCAAATTTCCAAAACTAACATCAGAAGAAAAGTATGGCAGACAGTAAGGAGAATTACTGATGAGATCTTGGGAGTTGAAGGGTTAATGCTTCTGTAATATTTTCGCGTAGACATAAACATACCCGGTATGCAGCTTCTTCTTCAACCCTGCTGTGTTCCATTTCTCAGTAACTGTTGAATCAAAATAAAAGCCCGGGAAATTATCACCTTGGAAAAATTATAGATTTCATTGATAATAATGTACTCGTTCTGTCTTTTTCCTTTCAAATAACCGTATTTTCATACAAGATAAGTTTTCGTTGCCTGGTCCTTTCTCTCGATAAACTTGTATTGTCTTTATTCTGTTTTAGTTGACTTTAAACACAAACGCGAGGAGCCATTCGTTGCTGTTATTGATAAAAGCATAATCGTCAATTGAATCTCATTTTCAAGATCTATTAGCGAGACTCAGTCGTAAAGAATCGATTACCAGGTACCTAATTATTCATCGCTCCTTTGTTCTAAATGTTTTTACCAGTGATGGTAAATTTATTCAATCACGTTGTTGAGACAAAGCATAAAATAATGATATTCAAAATCTTATTTATATGAAATGCGAGAGTTTTGTGAATCGCGCAAAACGTTACCTCCTTCTGTTGGAAGAGGAGCGATCTTAAATGCGAATGAGTTGGGTATAAGTCCATAAAAATAACCTCAACGATGAAATTTCATTATGAAGGAGGACTGAATTAACAATAAAACAACGGTTCGTTGTGTTACGCATGATAGCATAAATACTGTGCGCTATTCATTGCCACGTTGCGAAATTTAAGCAGTTATAACTTGCTGTTTCGATTAGAATTCATTCAAAATGTTGTTAAATATTTCCTAGGGAAGGTTTATCGAACGTAGGTTATAGATTTTGAAAAACTTTATTTAGGAATTTGAACATAATCTTGACGATCACTTCTGTTGTGAGTGTGGTAGCGAATGAATTAAAGAAATCAAATGAACACGTTTTAACCTACGCTTGAAAAGTATTTAATGACATACACAGTGGAGTCTGTGAGACATAAAGCGTATCGCGTGATCACTACATTTCAGTAGCTAAGAAAGAAGCATAATGATGACACATGCACAAGAATTATGAGTTAAGGGTCGCCTGATCACGACACGATTAGACACAGACTACTGAAAACTTGGCGGCAAAACTAAGTCAATTGAAACAGTGTTTTGGTATTGCACAGAAAAACCTATGCCTTAAAATGACATCAATCGAAGATCCTAAGACAGACTGTTATATCTAACTCTTTCTGACAAAGGAACACCTCAATTACTTGTTTATTTATGTCAAAATGTTTCAAGGAAATAAGCATTTCCAAATCCAAATCCGTCGATCAATTTCCTTCATCGGTTGTATTAAGAGTCACGATATTTATAAGTACATCTTTTGGGAGGACTGTTCAGTAAATAACTAATAATTAGTTCTCAGAGAATCGACATAAAGTGCTTGAAATTTTGCCGCAAAATAGAGTTAAAGGATATCAGAAGTGTTGGCGCATTCGTCTATAGTAAATTTAGCGTCGTCTGCCGAGTTCGCGGGTCATGGCGACTGTTTTGTATAATGCACATTGATCTTCAATCAAGAATGTTGTTTATGAGCTCAGGAAAGGAGTTAGCAACGTTTCTGTTGTGTTTTTCTTTTAACGTATAAAGCCGAACTCCACAAGAATCGATTCTGATTTACGTCGGAGAATGGTTGATATTTCGCCATGAATGCTCGAGTAATTCGACTGGATGTCGGAGTGTCTTACTACGGCCAAATGATTAATTTAGTGGTTACCTTTTTTAGTCAGAGACTTGGTTTTATGGCAAACACTTCAACACAGTTTCCTCGCTGTTCAGACCGTTTAAAGGCGATAAAAGACAGAGCCGGTTTCAAAATGCACAGGACGAGAGCGTGACCCGTCGTTCTCAATTGGTAACGCGGATTGGCAGTTTTGGATTAGCATGAATGGAATGCGCCCAGAGGTTCACTGAATTATTTGCATGATAATACAGGAAATGAAATGATGAACATAATGCATAACAGATTAGTTCAAATCGCTCTGGACTTTAATTCCCATGTATTCACATACGTTGTCTATTTTACAACTGTGTCGGTAGACATTGAATAGCGTGAAACCACAAACGTAAACACCCACACGGACATTTGTTGTACCCTTACTGGGCATGCGTCACTTTAGGCCAAATCATATTTGTTGTATGTTTATTTATGTTTGGTCGCGTTGTGACAAAGCCTGCACCACGAACAACAGGGGGGACGACGACCAAGTTGAGGCACGAAAAAGTAGCTCTTTTGCAAGTTGCCACACGAGCTAACCATACCAGGAAGTTAAAGAACAAAACTAAAAAAGTGAAGTAAAGTGAATGCAAATGTGTTTCCGTTTGGCTCGAGCCAACATAAAAAGAAATGGCAAATGAGTGAGCAAAGTGATCAGCGAGTCTATAGGGTGTACTTCTCGCCGAACCGTGCTTTGTTTCTCTTGGAGTCTGCCTTCCCCTTCGTAAGCAGTTTCTATTTTTCGACCCAAACTGGAACTTGCTCGGAAACTGGGAAGAATACTGGGCGCAAGTTGCGACAGTTTATCAGTCGAGCCATGCAGTTGTCAGATCTACAGAACGTCTTCGGTGGTTACAGGGCTTCAATGCGATTAAATTAAAATATTTACCATCTTTTTAAAGTTTTAGTCGACTCAGATTTTGTTGAAAGCCGTTAACTTTGCTTCGCTTTAGTAGATTTTTATTTCCTTCTTTCTCGGTTGGATACCTTTTTCTTCTACTTCTAACAATTCAAGATCTGATGTAAATATTTACATATTTGAACGGTAAAAGCACTAGAGACTGGATTATTCTTAAATCATAATTTTTCAATCAGCCCTTACGACGTTTTAATTCTGCTTTAGCAAGGCAGATTTTTTTTTTGGTATCCGAGAGAATGAAATGCAACACAAGAAAAGAAGCGACGAGAAAGACAGATACTCAACCAACCTAATCGCGTGGTGAGAATTCGTGACCTCTGACGAAATATTTATAGCACGAGAGTTATGTTAATCACTAAACTTTAGTATACGCATTGTTTGATTGATTGAGTCTGACCCGTAACTTCACTCGCGTTTTTTCCTTTCTAGACGCAAATTCGTTTAGCCGCCAAGGAAATTTCTTTGGACGTCGAAAGAAGATAACTGCAAAACCTAAATTTAAATCTGTTAAGAACGTCTGGGACGAGTGCAAAACGTTTTGCTTCGTTGATTTTTGAGGTAGGTTCAAGTCAATGAGTGCGAAGCGCGGATATTGCTTATTTAAACACTGTAGTAAATGCTGAATTATTCAAGTAGAACTAGAAAGGATTGCTTGAGGAACAATTTGAAAGGATTTTAATTCCAAATAGCCGAAACTTTCAGTAAGTAAGACAGAGGAGAGGCTGGAATGGCGTTGATGTAGAGAAACTAAAGAACTGAAACAGTAATATGATATGATAGCATACCACAGGCATAATGGATAGTCGTCTACATATATTCAGTGAGACCCTGGGTCGACTGATATTAATTGACTTACGGTAATATCCACACGCATATGACATCCATACGTCCATGTTCGTCTGCGTATTCAAAGTTTTCTGTTAACAAGTAAGCGACGAAAAGCGCTATTCCACTCTGGCGCGCGTTTTTGTTAATTTGCGTACACCTTTTCTTTCCCCTCATTTGCGACTGGAATGGAGCCCAAAATACTGAGAATGAAAACCCTGTGCACATGTCCTTAGAGATAATAGCGCGGCGTGCAAACTTTTTTCTTTTAATCTTTCTTAAAATTCTGGATGATCGTATGTTGTCATTTTTTTGCGGTTTGCAACTGGAAACTCATCATCTGTTAGTGAAACTATCTCCATTATTTTCACGTGGCTGACATGCTGTGTGTTTATACCCTTGGACAACAAGCTTGCGGATATGTTTAACTGTTTAGCAGTAAGGTTTGCATATAAATTCTCAATTGATTTTCCATCACTGAAATCCCCAAGCCTGATAAACTAAACATTTAGGTAAAAAATTTTCAGATTTGCTTTTTTGAATAGAATTATTCATCCTTACTGTCATGCACCGCTGTCTAAGCATAAAGACACTTGTTGTGCTTTTCAATCTATAGATCATAACTATAATACTAAACATACTTTATCAGCCTTTCTTGCTGTCGGTAGCTGAGGCCATCTTATCATGCCACCAAATCTAACATAACCGCGAAATGGCGAAATGGCCTAAAAAGATGGATCATTTAAAAGCTGGCATCGTGCTACGTGACGATCAATCAAGTTCTGCGTTTGGCGCTGGCTCAAGACATTTTTGTTTGAGTTGTGAGCCAAGTTTCTGAGCAGGGAGAGCTAGGGATAATATCAGCTCATCTTTATACCTAGTTTTCAGCAGGAAGGGCCAAACAAGCCTAATTAAAAGTTGCTCTATATGTGCTCTTGGGGCACACGTGGTAGAAGATGATTACATGCATGTTTAACAACACGCGCACTGATATTCAACCCACAGGGCGTGTTTTCTAAATTTATCCTTTGTACCCTTCAGAACTGCCGGGTGTGCTATTATTTTGCACGCCTGTTGAATAGACGACTTTTTGGCGCCAATTCAGGTGTTAAAAAAACCGTAAAAAGTGAGGAAGGAAAGTTTACTAGCCAGATTGAGAGTTATAAATGACTTCTTTGTTTTCAGGAATTGGATTAATTAATATCCAAAATGCAGAGTGGAGATAAGGCCCTCGAAATGGAACAGGTACGTCACATTGTGCATTCAAACGGGAATGTCACGGGAAGTTGGAGGCAACTACGATGTTTTTATGAAATTCATTGTTAACTTCCTATCGAACTCAAGGTGCAAAAGTTATCAATTTAACTATCAAGGCTGATTTGTAATTCTCTCCCCTCCCTCCTCTCTCTCTCCACCCTCGCCTGCAAACTTATTTTCCTATCACTTAGTATAGAGCATTTTGTGTTACATCCTGATAAATGATAAATGTGTCCATTCCCATCATCTACTTGTCTCAGAGTTGCGAGAGAATTTGTGCGGAGAAATTATCTTATGAGTAATTTCTGATATTAAAAGGTCTGAATAATTGCAGGTTCATGAAGTATATTTTTAACGATTCTTTTTCTGCCCACACCTCGACTGCTCAGCTATGGAAGGCCTCGCACTTTACTTCTCTGTGTTAATACCAAGCATCAATTTGCGTTCATCAGTTCGCTTTTTCAAATCAAATTTATAGAAGCGATGATTATTCTGTCAGTTACATATCTGATCAACCTTTCTCGTTTTGATTTGAGTTTTTTTTTTATTCACCGCTATTGAAAATGTTTTGATCTAGGTACCTGCTGCTGTTCAGATGGAGCGTGTAAGTGTTATTAAACATCAGTAATTTGATCAAAAATTTCCGTGATATTCTTACAACAATGAACTTTAGACCATCACAAATATACTTCATATCATATGACTACGCGGTGTGGCCTAGAGGGTCCAATCGTTGTATAAAAATGTCAATAAGTACAATCTCATCCGTTTAACGCTGGGTATAACTCGGTTACGAGGTTAACGGGCCAATCTAAAATCAAGAGAAATTTTTACGAATTTTAATTTAATATGCAATCTTGCAGAATCGCGAAGAAGTTTTATTTTGTTAAACGTTTTAACTTAAACGTAAAATTGCACATTTTTCCCAGCATGCACCTCTCCGAGAGGAACCGCCGAAAGACTACTTCAAACTGGCTGTGGTGTCCGTATTCTTTTGTCCATTGATTGGTGCCCTGGCGGTTTACATGTCACATTTGGTAGGTTGAGTGATATTTTTCTCTTGGATAGAGATTCAGGCTGTCCCTTGAATTAATTCCTTGTATCTTAATTGCCCTGTTTTGGAGCTACTTTACAGGAAGAGACATATCGATCTAACGGAAGCAGATATCTACTGCAATGTGTCCTTGGGAACTGAGAATGACAATTTGTAAAATGTCAAGAAAACTTGGTGAAATCGTGGAGTAAAATGCTTTGGATTGGCATTCCCCCACAAGAGATGTGAAGGTTTTCTCACGCTACAGAAACCGACGGTAGCGTCGATGAGTCACCCATTTACGTTCATATTTCATACGTAGAATTTTAAAGTCTTTAGATCAAACTTTTTATTAATTATGAGCATATCAATCTGCAAATAATTTGTCTCAGTTATCTACTGGAATTAATTGTTGATCCAAACAAAAATTAATTTTTTATTTCAGACTAATTCGCGATACGAAGAAGACGACATAAAAAGAGCAAATGATGCTTCTAAAGATGCGCGGTTCTCAGCATTTTTTGCCATTTTCCTCGGAGTTGGCATCATCTTCTTTTTCATTTTCATTGCAGCTATCGTGCCAGAATTCGCTTAGAAATTTTGGTGAATTTCATTTGGATGCTTTTCGAGGTCTTTTCGAATTGTAAAGTTGAGAAAAATATGTAGTTCTAATTCGAACTTGCACTCATTTGGGAAAGCATAGAAAGTACGTATGTTTCTGTTCATAAACCTTATAATGTATTCGTTTTACTAAAGTGATATCCGATTAATCAGAGACAAATGGACTTCAGTACAAAATGCATGATGAAGTATGATTATATTAGATTTCTTCCCATTAGTTATCAGCCTCGAAAGACCATATATATTTTTACTTATTAATTAACATGTGTTATCGTATCCGAGGACGTTTAGGCAATCTAGTTTTTTTAGCCATCAACTTCTCCTCAAGCCCAAGTTTAATTATCGTGGAGAAGCACGAAAACTTTGCACCAATTGTAATTGACGGGTTGGCTATTTTTTTGTGCTTTGCGGAAACAGTTTTTCTGCCGCTCTATAAAACTGTAATTTTTCCTGGAAAACATGTCTAACAGAGAAGAAAATGCAATATCTTCAGTTTCAATTACTGGTTGAGTTATACCGAAGGATCTCTCCCATCTTCAAGAGCCCGGAAATCGTGTTCATGGATATTTCCAGTAAGACCAATTACGAAGATCATGTTGTGACACACGATTCGCCTTCTCAGTTCTTCACATGCAATTAAAATTTCTGTATACTATTTATGAAGTATACGCAAGCTCATTCCAATTTACATTTATCGTGTAAATGTCGCTTCTTTCCATCCTCTGGAATTTAAAGTTGTCCACATTACGGGTTGGGATTCTGAAGGGCTAAATTCTAAAAGTCGAAGGACTGTTCCCCTCATGTTACACCGATTATTTTTTTTATTAAAATATAGCACTGTATTGTTATTGTAATAAATCAGAATCAGGCTTTGCCTCCTAAAGCCAGAGTGATATTAGCGAGATTTGAGAATGTTACCGGCATAAAAGGAATGAATTGGGCAACCCCGAGCCGACATTGCTGTGACCCGAAAGCCCTTCTCTCCATAATCCTACACCCAACCCTCCCGCTACAATGAGGGATATCTATCTCACTTCAATAACTCTTTTTCAGAAAAGTTATTGTAATCTGAACGAACTCGGAACCATATGACTGGGTGAAAACCAATTCCCGAGTTTAAATAACTGACTCCAAAGATATTTTTCAATTCCCGGTTAGGAGAAACGATTGTACCGCATACGGAGAAACGTTTGCCTGCTTTCGAGCGTTTTTGAATGCAGACGTCAAAGTCAATATTTTAATTCAGTGTCACAGTACATCGTGCTCTGTTGTCCACCAGTTTGTCTATTGTTGAGCTCTCAGCTACTATTACTGCTTTTTGGTCTGTATATGATTATTTTGCTACCCGGCCAGTGTAAAAGTTTTAGCGGGTGAAATTAACTTATGGAACTCGATAAGTGATTGCACTGACGTAGTCGTTGATAAATTCATCACAAAAAAAGTGTCTGTCAAACCTTAAAACGCGTTATAATGCTAAGTGATTTTACTGGTTTGATGTTGGTAGCGCAGCAATACAAACCTTAATCTCGCTATCCTTTAGTTTTTGACGGCAGAGAGAGAGAAACCAGGCAACTTACTTTTTAAAAAGTTCCTGTTTATTTCAATTTTCAAGCTTCGAGTGTTCAGTTCTCGACATCGCATGCCCATGACTGTCAAAGTTTTGCATGAACAGCTTGTGTTTTCGTGGTAGTTTTATCAACATTTTCAAAAAGGGAAGATTGGCGTTATTACAGACAGCAATCAAACAGTCATAAATATTTAAAACATCACAACTCAAGGGAACATTTCGTGCCCATTAAGCGAGATAAAATGAAGGTAAAAAAACGTTGACATGCATCTCACTCAACAGAAAATAACTCTAGACAATTTTATTCATTTTTATTCCGTTTGGTATCTTAAAAAAAGATTACAGAGTGATACATTTTACGGCGTTTTGTTGGTTACGTGGTAACGTTTTTAAAGCTGATTACAGGCTCGTTCATAATTGACGAGTTTTAGTCAGTGAACTGTGATGCAAATTTTGCTTTATATTCTGCTTTGACTAAGCTGGTACTGTATCACCTGAGTAAGAACGATTCTGAACAAGAACCTCAGTAAAAGAACCTAATTCTCACAAAGGTAAGAATATCTCTGGCGATGATAAATGAGGATGATGGCTACTTGCGCAACTCCATATCATCTACGTTTTCGTTTAATGTCATGCGAGTGATCACACAGTTCTCAGTGACCTCCGGGTTTCAGACCTTTTATTGAGTTTTTCGTCTTTACTATAGACACAAATACCCAAGTTAATAAATGCAGTTGAATTGTTCAAAATCCATAGGATTCCAGGAATCAATTTTCTTAATCTCTTTTCATCCCACGCAAGACAAAGAACGTTACTGATAATGAAAAATAGCCCCTTAGCTCTCCCGGAAAACTCAGAATCTTCTCAGTGAAATACGTGAAAACACTCTCTCTCTCTTTTACGCGACGGCGTTTGCCGTTTGCTTTCTTTTTTGGCATTCTTTGCATGGCGACAAAAACTCCGTTATATGGGAAAAGACAACTAAAAAAAGAACGAGTTAAAAAAAAGTTTTAGTTTACAAGTTGTTTATTTTTCCTTTCTACCGTTTTCAGGTAAGAGTGTCATTTTTCTGAGCACTATGTAAATTTATCCAGTCGGACGTAAAAATAAGAGACCATGATCGTGATTTCGGTTACTTTATGAGTTTGTTTTCAATAATCATTTTATAAAGTTATTAATTGAAATGTGTTTGGTTGTAATTGTAAGTCCGTTTAAAAAAACCTTTTTCTAAAAAAATTATTTTTCATCGAGTTCATCTTTGCCAAAAATTAAAAAAAATTGACTGGCTCTTCTATAAAAGGAGAGTTATTGGAACACAGCTGTTTCGGGTAATTTCCAGGCCAAGTTTTTAACGCTTTTGCTTGTTACTTCTTGATTTGTTTTGAACTGTCGTAACTGTAAATGAATGCCCAGTTCCACCGCTAGATGCTCTGTTCTATTAATGTATGTACCAAGGTAACCAACATGTTATTCATGTTTATTTTAATTAAAGATGACGGTAGAAATTCATATCATTGCTGTGTTCATGACATCCTTGGTCATCATATTTACAACGGGTGGTAAGAATTTCATGACTTTTTGAGTAAAATTCTCTTCACATGTTTTAATGGCATTTTCTTGAAAGCATTTATAATTTAGTGATTAGATTACATTTTAATACTCCTGCACTTAGTGTCCAATTGAACAAATATGTTCAGGGGCACTGACCAGATTGATTGGCTTAAAAACGACTTAAAGACGATTAAGGTTGTTTTTTCCTGTTACCTAGACATGAGAGACAAAAAGATATTGCTTCAGTGGAGACTCTTTTTAAGGACACCCCTCCTAATGTACTGTTAGGTGAACAAAATCTTGTTCGCTAATGGCGTCTGATATTTAAGAGGTCATTTGACGATTTGCAGGTATTGTTATCTGCACTTGCTATTATCCTGATTGGTGGCCTAAATATTTGTCGTCACCCCTCTCTTAATACCTTAATTTATAGCGAAATATATTTTTCGTCTTGTCACGAGCGTGGGACAAAGAAAAAATTCTGAGTCCCCATGAGGAATCGCACCTCAAACCTTCAGATTCCGCGCTTCGATCTTTATCTATGTATCTAAAAAGGCCAATCCTACTGTTGAAGTTCAGCTTTAATTTTTTGATTGTAGATTAAAAAATAAACATTCAAAGCTCGCTAGTTTCAATAATAAAATCATATACTCGCTTTATTTTCTAGCAGAGGCCTCCTTATGGGACGAGCAGAGGCTAATTCACGACCTGTTTCAAAACTACAGCAAGTTCTCTCGTCCAGTGGTGAACAGAAATGATCAGGTTGTGGTCACATTCAGGGCGAAACTCAAGCAAATAATCGACTTGGTGAGTGTGAATAAGTTGCAAAGAAATTAAGTGAACTGGGGGCGATTACCATATCTGACTATAGAGGATGACCGCTGTAAAAGGCCGTTCATTGGTTATCACGGGAGGTCTTTTGTTGTTTCACGATAAAATTTACCTGGTCCCCCAGAAGGCTCTGTAATATTCTTACGAACCCCCCCCCCCCCCCCCCCCCCTTATACCATGTTGGCGACAACTGAACTTCCCTCCTCCGTCCCCCACGTCTTCCGCCAAACAATCCTCTGTCCCCATTCTCCTCCTCCCCCGCGCCTCTCAGGAAATTAAAAATGACTGCTCCTCAAGTAAGTCAATAATTCATAATTCTTGACTGACTGAATGACCGAGGTATTCCAAACTTTGGATTACTTCTGTCATGATCAGTTAGACTTTTAGTTTCAACTCAGTTTTGTCTCTTGATTGAACATTTTGCTTTTAAGTTTGAACGTAAATGTCACCACTATTTAGCGAACACCTCTCTTTAAAATAACAAATATCGGCGAAGAATTTGTTTTCGTATTTTTACATGCTCTTCAACCTTATCCAGAAGGACAACGAACAACTTCTACAAGTCATTCTCTACACATATCAGGTACAAATTTTTCTAATGTCATGTTCTGAGATGTGTGTGATTTATTCATATACTTAGTCTAATACTTTGATTTCCTGGCATCGTGAGCTACCCCTTTTCCACTGCATCTCAAAGAAAATGACGCTGCATGTTAGATACATCTACCTTTCAAGTTCAAAACGAACGAAGAAAAGAAGCAAAAATAAAAGAGACTGAGAAAAGAGTGTCGAATCGTCTCAAGCATGTCTTTTCCAACTTTCCTTACGTATAACCTTCCTTTTCCTTCAACTCACCAAAACTCTCCTTTAATTTACCTCTGGGTCGAGAAAATTAAGTAAATTTTTTGGTCGTAGCACTGTCAAGGGATATGTAGCAAAGTGTGGGCAAAGCCCACGAATGAGTCGAGAGTCTCTTTTGGGACGCAAGGTTTCTAATTGTCTTGCCTTTCGCATGTAATCTACAAGCAACCTCAACCCATACTGATCTGTTTGAAAAATCGGTTTAGTACTTTTGGTGTAATCAAATCCGTTGAAATGTCCTTCAGGAATGGACTAACCCATTACTCACATGGAACGCCTCTCTTTACGGTGGAACGGAAGAAATCAACGTCGACGCCTCGATGGTTTGGGTGCCGGATATTGTGCTATACAATAGGTATTGTGCATTCCAATTAATAAGCATAATACCACGTGACGTTGAAGTTAATTATAATTGGCTGTTAGATTATTCCCAACATTCGTATCAATTTTAGGGATCTCTAATATACGCTGTGGTGGCAGAAAGGTCTTTTATTCTTAGCATATCATCAAATTTACTATTGCGTTTGAGAAAATCTTCCCCGCAATTACAACGCTATACTGATATTATAATTGCATGTGGTGCTAAGACCCGTGCATTTTATTTGCAAGAGCTTAGGACCAAGAAAAATAGATCAGTTAACTATTGACTAGGAAAGTCGTGGTTGGATTCCCTGTTATGATTACCATTATAATCACGAAGATTTTGGTGATGACTGTTATCATTGGCACAAGAGTAATTGCACTTTTAATTACGGCTAAAGAAAAAGGTTGAGACTTGTAAATGCTATCTTCATTTTTTCTTCCTCAAAACTCAGCGCAGAGTTTACGTTCTCTGGTGGAACTCACAAGTACAAAACGGATGTTGTCATATATTGGAACGGAAGCACAATTTGGCTTGCACCCGCGATGTTTATCACGGTCTGTCACCTCGACGTGCGGTAAATTTTTATCACACGCTTATTTGATTTGTAACATTTCGACTGAGTGATAATCTAGCGTTAAAAATTCTACCCTTCGCCGGAGCCATCTTCCCCCAGCTGTATTTCCACGCCACCGTTCTTACTCCTTCTAGGCATAGGTATGGATGGGTTCAGGAAAATACTAAGTGGGTTCTACTTTCAGGGCATGTAGCAGTACTCACCTCATGTTTTGCAAAAATATATGAGCTCTTCAATCCTGCAAAAAGTCACCACTTAGTTAAGCATGGAAGTCCCTTCTCAAGTATCATTTCTGTTTATATTCAAGATATTTTCCTTTCGATGATCAGAAGTGCCCGATGAAATTTGGAAGCTGGACCCACGACGAAACACGTTTAGACATGCGCATTCTTACCAATGCCTCCAGTGACGACATCTACACGGAACATGGCGAGTGGCAGCTCTTAGGACTGGAGCAGAAAAGGTAGTGGTCCATCTTGTGCTTTGAGATGTCTCATTTAAAGAGTCTTTAGACTATGATTTTTTTCCACAATATTTTTTGACGGCTCCCTTTATATTCATTCCAAAAGTTAGCATATCTAGTTTATTACGTTCGAGCAATTTTCCATTAGATCCCAACGAAAGCAAAGTGTGAAGCTTCTTACGAGGCCGGGAGAAACGTTCCAACACCCCAAGAACTTCGCGCTCTAAATAGAAACCTCAAAAGCAAGTTTAATTTCATTTTCAGGACCTCAAAGTTTTACGACTGCTGCCCAAAACCGTACGTGGACATAACATATACTATCCACGTCCGCAGAAAGCCCTTGTTCTACACTCTATACTTGATTGTTCCCGCCATAATAATCACAGCCATGGTGCTGGTGGGCTTCTACCTGCCTCCAGAGTCTGGAGAGAGGATGCAGCTTGGAATTACTGTCTTGTTGGCTATGATAGTGTTCCTTCAGCTCGTATACCAAAATCTTCCATCGACTTCAAATAGCGCTCCCCTTTTAGGAAAGTTCTATATCGTCACAATGTTTCTGATCGCTCTTTCGCTGGCTGCCACTTGTCTTGTGTTAAACTACTCCTACGGCCGCCATTGCGATGGTGAAATGCCCATGTGGGTTCGAATGATCATTCTGCACTGTCTTGGCCGAGTTTTTGGATCATCCAACAATTCTGGAAAAAGAAGGCGAACGTCAATGAGTGGAAGAACGAACGAATGGAAGATTGCTGCCAGTATTCTGGATAAGTTCTTTATGGCTTTCTTTGCATTCATAATTACTGTGGTGGCATTGTATTTCTTTTACCAAGCCCCACACTAGTACGAAATCAGTGTAACACAGGCCATGTAGTCATTCAAAACCTACTGCAAAATACAAAGACTTTTACGTTCCGTTTTTGTTTTATTTTGTTTTTTTGTTTTGAGAAGTGTTTTTTTTCCTGTTTTTTCTTTTCTTGAGAAACTTGCGTTCTCCAGTGCTAAAATCAAGGAAGATTTCCCTTTGTCTAGCTGGCATGCAGCATTTAGGAGCGAGAGGAGGCCTGCAAAATGAACAACACGCCTACCCAGACAGTGATAAAGTAGGGAAACAAAGAGAAAAATAAAATTATGCAAAACTCAAGATGATGCAGGATGAATAAATTTCTCAAATGGACTCTTCCTGGTCGACAAACTCAGGTCATCTCCTGACCCTATGGGAGAAATTCTTTAGACTGCG